TAGGAATAACAGCAAACATTTTTCCTCTAGAATCACCACTGAAAAGCTCAATACATTTAACTCAATTTCAAATACACACTTATTTAGCTTAACTTTGTTCATTGAGTGTAACATTTAACCAGAAAAACAGATTAAACCATTGCATGTGGTGGGATGGAAATAAGAATTAACAGTAATTGTTCTACAGAGCTATACTGCATTGATAGAAATTTGCTAAACTGATTTATTATGATCGCCGTTGGCAGCTATCACTTGGTAAATTTACTAGAAAATAATTTTAGTATGTTTGAAGTGAGTGAATAAATGGTATGTAAAATGGCTTCAGGAAAATTATAAAAAATAATTGCCCTGGGTGTAAGAAGCAATAAAGAAACAAGTGCATATTATATGCACTATTACTTAAATTACAAATTTTGTGTAAAAGTAAGCACAGGGGCAGTCCTTGGGGAGAAGGTGGGGTTGATAGAGAACAAATGGGCACATCTTAGGAAACATTCATGTCCTAGCTCTTCATCTGGTTGTTTAGCTATATGAATGAGTTAAATACATACAAAGAAGCATGTGTATCCAATATCTGCAATTATCTGTGTGCATATTATATCCAAATATGTTATACACACATATGTATATACATACCTGTGCACAAAAGACATTTGATCATATGTGTGTGTGTGTGTGTGTGTGTGTGTGTGTCTGTGTGTGTGTATGAACATGCATATAGAAATACCTGGGGACCAAAGCCATTAAATAATAATAAAATGTTTGCAGCCAGAAGCCAGTGGCTCACATCTGTAATCTTAGCTACTCAGGAGGCTGAGATCTGAGGATTATGATTCAAAGCCAACCACCAGGAAAAGCTGTGAAACTTTTATCTCCAATAAACCACCAGAAAACCAGAAGTGGTGCTGTGGTTCAAGTGGTAGAGCACTAGCCTTGAGTTGAAGAGCTGAGGAAAAGCGCTCAGGCCCAAAGCTCAAGCCCCAAGACCAACCAAAGAAAAAAAGTGTGCATAAAAATGCAATATGGTATTCAATGTTCTGATAGTCCTCTGGAATTTTTTCCCAAATCATAATAAATATGATCATGGAATTTTTTTAAGGAACTTTCTCAATTTTTCTATCATTTTTCAATAGTAATGTTCCATAAGATAATGTGTAGCCGAATTATAACAGGTATTGAAGGAAAGAGTGAACCCAAACACTGGCACATTTGGAAAATGAGTGAAAGAGCCTAAGGATGGCTGAAGGAGTTACAAAAAGGAAGCCATTCCTTTGGGTTTCTTTTCAGTACTTTTCTACTTCTAAACTTAGTGTCAGTCTGGCTTCTAAGACACACTAATGCCAGCCTCCTCCTAAAGATACATCTAATATTTCTCCAATGAACTAGTCTGTAATCTTATCCAGAGGTACATTTCTCTTTTATTCTCCTTTTGGTATCCTGGGTATTGTGTATACACTTATCTGAATTAGGGAAAGGAAGGGGAACCACAAAATGGTAGAACAAAAGGGAAACTTACAAGACAATATGTTGAAAATGATATGTACAATTTGTGGGGGTAGGGGTTGGCAAGAAGGGAAAGTGGGAAAAAAATTAGGTAGGGGGCAACAAGTTTGACAAGAAATATACTCACTACCTTACTTATGTAACTACAACCCTCTGTATATCACCTTAACAATAAATTTAAAATAATAAAAAAAGTAAATGAAGTAGAAAGGAATATGAAGCAAACAACAAAGCCTTTTATCTGTAAAAAAAAAATTTTTCATGGGTAGGGACCATGCCTGACTTACATGTCCATCAAACCCAAATAACTGCTGTAGTGAGCTGCATATTTATTTCCATTAAAGCTGAAGAAGATAACATGAAACCTGAGATGAATTCCAAATGTAAAACTGCTGAAATTATCTATTTGTTAATAACCACTTTTCACATTTGGATTCCAAAGCTATGTGGGATATTTCTTTTACTACTTCCTAAAATGTAAAAACAGAAGAGCACACAGATAAGAATTAAAAAAAAATTAATGCTCTAAGAGCATATTCATTTACTCACATATACACCAACATTGATTTTAGGTAAAATCAGTAGAAATTCTGCTTTCTGAAAGCCAGCAATTGCTTTAGAAAAAGCTGATTGTGTGATAATGCAGTTTGGTTAATATTAAGATAGAACAGGGGAGGTGTAAATGATGCTATGTTAGACTAGAAGATAGATGCTAAGGTCTATGAAGGCTAAAATGAATGTGTCCTGGCATCTGAATAAACCCTTCAGCAAGGTAATGATAGATTATGTAATGTCAGAGATTGAGCAAGTGGGCAGAAGGGCACATGATCACTTAGATTTGAGACCCCCAACTTGGCAATTTGCATAATCTTTTCATTTGTTTGTTTGTGCTGAGCATCAATATTTTCTGTAGTAAGGAGTTTCTTCTAAGATCATGCAGTCCTGAAAGTTGTGGGAAAAAAGTGGCATCTCTCAGCAGATACCAGATTAGAACATTTTTACTGTAGAAAACTGAAGAAATCAAATATCATATCTTTTTGAATTCAAGTGGGGAATGTTTCACAGTTAGCTTACACATCAGTATGCAGTATAATTGATGCAATGTGTATTGAAACATCGACATGAAACATGTTGCCTGCTATTTCTGAAAGAAGTTAGAAAGCTTTGTTGTTGTTGTTGTTGTTTAAATAAAACAAAGTTAGACCAAGATTCAGTACTAATATCTTTTTATCTTTAGTAATAATCTTCCTACAAAATATACTTAAAGATTTGTAGACCTTGATGTAAGGTTGCTCTATATTATGTTTTCAGTTTGCATGCACCAATCTACTTCACGTGTCTATAGTAGTATCAGTAAGATATATCCATGCCACAGCTAGCAATTATGAGCATTATTTAACATGCAGTGGCTGCCCTGTCAGCATAACGAAGTTCATTGTAAAGCAGCATGGGTGGCCTTGGCCATCACACAAGATGAAAGTCATTTCTTTTCTTCCAAAAGTCAAAAGTATTTATTTTGGACAAGTGTAAATGTAGCACACTTCAAAGTTCAAATGCAAGTAAAGCACTTGCTTGCACTGAGAATTAACCGCTGTTTCAGCTAACTGATAACTCTTCAGAAACCCCCAGGTGGGTTTACTTAGAGATAGCTTTAGTGATGAAAGCAACCCCCCAAGATTTGTCATTGTACTTTATACATTCCATGGTTCTAGAGCATCCATTTTTAACTATTTTCTACATGAATTATAAGATTAAGGGCTTATTCTGAATGTCCTGAATAGTATCAATGAAAAGATTAAAACAATTTCAATGAAAATCTCACAGAGAACAAAGAGCTATTGAAGTCAATGCTTCTACAGTATTTCAATGAAAACCTAGTCACAAAAAAAGCAGAAGCTCCTCCTCAAACTACACCTCAAATGGCATTTTTGTATCTTTGAAATTGCAGGGTTGGATGTCTCTGATTTAGATGAAAAAACACACAAACCACCTGGGCCAGCACCTGTGACTGGTGCCTATAATCCTAGCTATTCAGGAGACTGAGATTTGAGGATCAAGGTTCAAAGCCAGCCCAAGCAGGAAAGTTAGTGAGACTCTTATTTCCAATTAATGAAAACACTGGAAGTGGAGCTGTGGCTCAAGTGCTTGAGCAAAAAGTTTATGGGCAGCACTTAGGCCATGAGTTCAAGCCCCAGAAAAGGCAATAAGAAAAGAAAAAAAATGTAATCACCATGTGTGATGTCTTTTCTGATAATAGAAAGCCACTCTTCAGAGAACCTTACAAGACCACTATAAAATAAAATGACTGAAAATATTAGTCAAAACATTGTATTTCAGTTTGAGGCATATGGAATTTATTATAACCAGAAAGATACACAACAACAAAATATAACCGACCACTTTAATATTAAGATAATTTAAATCTATTCTAGCTTGGATTCCTATTGAATAATCTCTTTAAGTCAAAGATAGTTTCTTATTCAGTGTCATTGCATGGTATTTTAACATATTATTTTAATATAGAAATACTTTATATAGTTTAAATTTATAAAGTTAAATTTTATATACTAGATCACAAATGACTACTTGTTTATTAAATTCTGAGTCCAAATATTTTATCAATAATCAGTAAGTTTATTATTAATCATTATATAATCATTAACTTTATTAATTATTAATACTTACAAAATTACTAATTTATTTTTTTCCACTTTTTTACCCTATTAGGAATCAATTTTAAAAATCTTTATTTCTGGCCTGGCACCAGTGACTCACTCCTGTAATTCTAGCTATTCAGGAAATTGAGATCTGAGGACTGTGGTTTGAAGCCAGCTCAGGCAGAAAAGTCTCCTTGAGACTCTTACCTCTAATTAACCTCTTAAAACCAAGAAGTGACACTGTGGCTCAATTGGTAGAGCACTAGCTGTGAACACAAAGAGCCTCAGAGACAGTGCCCAAGTTCTGAGTTCAAGAGCCCAAACTGACACACACACACACACACACACACACACACACACACTCCTATTTCCACAAATCTTATATAAAATACTGCTTTTGAAACTTTTATTGTATAATTAATTCAGTTCTAGAAAACACTATTGAACAGCAAGAGGATTATATCATGAGCTTTACTAAAAAATCTAAATACATTTTAATATTTTCCCAGTGCTATGTGCAATTTCTAAATGCATCCTTTTAGTGGTATAAGACTCAGATATTGAAATGCTGCCCGGGAGTAGCTCAAGGGCTAGAGCACTTGCCTTGCATGCGCAGATGCCTGGTTTAAAGGGAAAGAGTATGGGAGGAAGGACAGGCAGGAGAGAAGGAGGGAAGGAAGGAAAGAGGGAGAGAAGGAAGGAGGGAAGGAGGGAAAGAAGGAAGGAAGGAAGGAAGGAAGGAAGGAAGGAAGGAAGGAAGGAAGGAAGGAAGGAAGGAAGAGATCTGCAGGCAGGCAGGCTTATATGTAGGCATAGAAGAGAATACTGGAAGCACCATACCTTTGAGACATAATCTTATAGGCATCTGGCAGGTAACATCTGATATTCTCCATCTGAGCGGGGTCCGAGTCACAGATTTTGTCATCGGTCCTCCCGTAGTTGGCACTTTCAATCATGATGACATCTGTTCCCGGACAGCGGAGCTCTATGGGGTAACTCTCACAGGACAGCTCTCTGCGGACCACGGCCATGGGAATTGGGGCGCGGCTGAAGGCTATGGGAGGAAGAGGGAGAAAGAAAGCACAATATGGTTATTACTCATAAAGGGGCACTCTGTGCATGAGTTCGCTTTCTAGTGTTTGGGGGTGGACTGGCACAATGGAAACTCCAGCAAGGTTTATAATGTAACTAAAATATGGTTCTGTTTTGTTTTGTGGGGTTTTGTTTTTTGAGCTCCAAATAACAATGTGGTTAACTTTCCCACTAGAATTTTCTACACCCCCCCCCGCGCGCGCACACACACACACACACACACACATATTATGTGAGACCTCCCTCCCCTCTTTTTGTTTCACTTAAGTACATTTTATAGTATTATACACTCTGACAACTTGTATATTTTACTTAATAATGTAATATATGGTACAATATTTTTGTTTCTGGATATGTATATTCCATTTATAATAGATGCATTAAAATAGGGACCCATATAAACATTTATAAACATATATATAATTAAAATTAATTTGTCCTATGCTCATGGATATTTTAAATAACTGCATATAATGAAGTATATAAATGAATCTGTACATGTTACTTATAGTATTTTGGACATTATATAATTATCCAAGTTTATTGTATAATATAGCCCTAAGTAAAATTATATTTGTAGAAGTAAAACTTATGATATATTTCTAAAAATAAAAATTGATGGGAAATGGGGGAAAACAATTTCAAATCTGGCCAACAGAGTTTGGTTAAAAAGAAAAAAATGACAGTCCTTTCTGTTTCAAAATTAAATATCAGTTCTCTTAATTTTCCCAAATCAATGCCTAAGGAATATATAATGGTATACTATTGTTATTGTAATTTTCTACTTCATTTGTATAATTATTTTTATTCTTTTTACACATAATGTGCTCAAATTTAAGCAAGTCTTGCTGTTCTAAAAGTTCTTCGCATAGTAAGAAAATTAGGTCTCTTTCCGTTATGTTTCTTCTAGATTGTTTCATTTTACATGTTTGTTAATGTATATGTTTACTTTTTATATATAGAAGCTTTCTATCTTTTCAGGTCAAGTTTAATAGTTTCTCATTCCAAGACTGAATATAAGCAGCATGTTATGCGAATTGTTGCAAAACTCAGCAAGTCATCATTGGAAGCAAGTTAATTGAAATCCTAAATGAAGTATATACCAACTGTTAACAAAGTGGATGTCTGCATAACAAATTCAACTAATGGGAAGCACATATGATGGATTAAATTTATGTTGACAGTTGATTAATTCACAAATGTACACTTACATAAAAATATGAACTTAAACACAGAGAATTATTTATTTAAAACTTTTATTTAAATAAGCATGCTATATAAAAGAAGATGCACTAGGAGATGAGAAGCAGAGAGCTAAGAACAAGGATTAGTAAAGAAGCAAAACTTTATAATTATTAATATTTCTTTAAAACTGAGAAAATGTGGTTTCTTTTTTGAAGCATATCATTTCAAATTTGAGAAAGAAATTGGTTTTTCCCTTATTTGTGTATTTAGAAAAGGTCTGATTGCACCATAATGCAATGATTTTATGTGGCTTTGGCATTTGTTTTTTTCTTTCTCTCTCCTCACTCAACAAACTTACACACTCATGTGAGCACACACAAACACACACATAAGAATCTAGCAAATCCACGTCATTAATCAAAGATAGCTCAAATAATTATTCAAAATTGGTTGATGTTAGAGAAATGAACCCTAAGATATGTATTCAAATGTTTTTTTTCTTTCATGCGATTGTTTCTAACACATTTATAAGATTACTTCTTTGTTGCTTTGTATGTCCCTCCCCCATAGTATAACCTCTGCTTTCACTGTATTTGCTGTCGGTATAATTTTTGGAGGGGAAGGGAAAAAACAAATCGTTTAAATAGGGATACAGGTGGACCCATTGCAACAATGCGATGTACAAGTCCTTATGTCGAAAATGAACTTTACAACTTTGGTGCGGGGGGTGGGGGGGAGCGATGGGAAGGGGAAACAAAGGAGGAGGCAACAATGCTTGATAATAAATGTATTCATTATCCTGCCCATGTAATTGTAACCCCTCTGTACAGTATTTTCACAATTAAAAAAATTTGTTGCAATGCTCTTTCTAAAATGTGTTGTTGAATCAATATTTTGGCAGAGTAGTCTCATAAGATACACACTGAATTTCTACTCCTAATAAATTTATCATTCCAAAAGTTTGTCTTTGAACATAAATTCATTTTAATATTAAGAGCCTATCTTTATTTAATTAGTGTACTTAAACTTTAAATAAGGGAATAAGTGAATAATGAGAATATTTCAATTCAGAAATCTATTTGCAAGATTTTTGTCATCTTAAACAGAAATCACAGAGGTATTTCTTTTCTCACACAATGTCTTGGGCAGAAAATCACAATTTCAGATGATTTGTAGATTTTCGACAATTGTTAGAAGACAAGGTGATTAGCCTCTTTGCACTTGCCATTTAAGAAAAATTACTTCAGAAAGCTTCCTAATATTGGATTAATCTAGCAATATTGTGTTGTCTTATCCAGTCAATTAAGTTAAAAACAAGTTAATTTAACAAAGAAACAACACATGAGCAAATCACACTGTCAAAGCATTTGTTTTTCTCAGTGGACAATTAGGATGATGAAACTCATCAGTCAATTTTGTCAAAACATTGACATAGCTTTAATGTGGGTCTTCACTGTCAAATGTATCATTCAGAATCAAACCATTCAAGCTAGATGCAAAGCCAAGAACAATGTCCAGCCCTAAATTTTCTACAGCTCTTCTAAATGGGTATAAATACTCTAAATTTTACAATGTTATTCCAGAGTTGTTTGGTAGAAACTTTGTTCATTTTAACATATAATTGCATTTGTTTCTGGAACCCAGTGACAAATTACACTCCACAAATGATGAATGCTTTGTTCAAAAGAATATATTGCTGGAAACTACAACATTATGTAATTAGCTATTTGAATTACTTTTAATTAGATTACTAAATGTTTTCACCAGCAATCAAATCCAAAAAAAATGGCCTCAGTTAAAAATCAGATACTTTAACCAGTCAGTTATCACACTGCTAACAGTATGGCTTTGGTTACAAAGGAAATGACAAGCAATGTCAATAGTTTAAATGCAAGGTGGCTTGTCAGATAGTGGAGCTAAGCACTGTCTGTGCCAGGTAATGTCCCATGGGGCAGTGTGAAGTGGTTTATGGCAAATAAATATGGGTCAATGAATGAACAGCACACATTCTCAAGCTTCTCTCCTGCCCACTTTACAATGCTGTCACCCCCATACCAGCTTTGAACCCAGGACCCTCTGTACTGTTGCTATCACATGACAAAAGGTGTGTTTTAAGGAGAAACACACGGTTTCATCATATAGATGTATAATACATATTTGCAGAATAGAGTGAATGAATAATAGATGTGAAATTTGCTAACTTTCTGGTACATAATACAGCTTAGCACAACTCACTTATCATGAGATGAGACTGCCTGGAAGAATATGAACTAAACTATCTTCTCTGCTAAAGATGGTTAGAACGTAAGGAAGCACATAAATTCTATGTCAAACATATACCCAATCCAAAATGTTTCAAACCAGGGATCAACAGTAAGGAAATCAAGTAAAAATAACTAGTAATTTAGAAAATAGCTTCCAATTCTTGGTGGCTTACTTTCATAAAAATAACACAGTATCTTCTTTTCAGGACTTCTAGCCATTGATTCAGCGAAAACCCTTCTTTTCCTGGTATAATCACATTCTTACCGTTAAGACTTCTAACTTGATGTACTGTAAATCGTAAAAAAACATGTATTTGAGAACTGCAGGAGAGAATTGAAAAGACTAGAAGCTGATGGCCAAACAAGAGTCAGGGGATTTCTAATAAAATCCCAAACCAGAAACTTACCCAGTTAACCCACAGGTGTTAGATGAGACTTTTCAAAGAAGGAGATGGTACATAAAGCATAAGATTACATGGGGACAGAGTAACAATAGATTAAGTAAAAAGCAGTTAATTCATTGGTGGTGGCACTGCACAAAAAATCAGTTCACACATTTAACTGAAGGTGTCAGAATAATATCTGGATATATACAATAGTTTGTGGGCTTCACAAACCTAAAATGTTGGAGTCATACACAGACTAAAAAATCATCATAACCTATAAGTAGTTCAGGGAGTAAACTAAACTATAGAGTAAGAGAAAAGAGATCATCACAGAAGTGTTTAGTGGACACTGCAGAAATGTACCACTTATTTATTGGACCAAAGGGAATATGTATCTTGTTCAAGGAAGATTTCAGCTTATGGATCAAACCACTTGTCATTACATTTTGGGATGGATGGGAGCATGGGTTGTTTCTACATATTAATCATTAAGTAAAACAACAACAACAACAATAATATGTAAGAGAGACTGAAAACTTTACCCAAAGGAAGAGTTTAATGCATTGCCATGAGAAAACATGGTAGGGCATTGAATATATAGTTCTGTAAGTGTATATTCAGAAGAGAATTCTTTATAACTGTGTTGCAGTTCATTATTGTGAAACCACAGCAGCAGATATGATGTCCTAGGAAGGAAGCGTGGATTCCTTTTTTAAAAAAAGCATCATATGGCAGTTTTAAAGTATGTTAGTGATTATATATATATATATATTTATATATATATATATATATATATATATATCCTCTATTCTTATCTTCTTTCCCCTTCAGTGTGGGCTGTGCTCAGTAACGGGCTTCAAATGAACTTAAATTTTATAAATGGGTGTGTGTGATTTCCCAGAGTAGTTCATTAAAATCACAGGGCATTTTCACACTTTGTTTTATATCATATCACAATGTGTAACAAAGCCTGCCATATCTTGACAGCACACAAGCAGCCCCTTTCCCCATGGAAAGGCCTAGGGGGATGAACAATAGAGGCCCCCCACTTGACAGTCAGCAAGGACTGGTGGGACAAGTAAGTAAGGCCTCTTAAAGGCTGGTCCACAGGAACCAGAAAGACTTCC